AGAATGAAGTATAATGTGCAGGAAACCCAAAATGTGATGTCCTTATGAGGACACAGGGTCTCAGGAGGATAAAGCTGAATAGCTATCAAATTACCATCAAAACCTTCATGACTTCTGGCTAGGTGTACCTAATAAACCGGCAACTGAGTGTATATGTAGGGCAAACACACAGGTTCAACTAAGAGTTTTGATGAGAATGCCTTACATTTGATTTTTAAATAATTGTGAGCAAGATATGTTCCGTACAAGACGTTTCACAGTTTTATTTAACATTTCTGAACTGAAAATACAATACCAATATATCTGTGATAAACTAATACTGGCTGAACATATGTACCAATTTTGAGATACCACAGGAACAAATAGGCATTAGTGTTAATTTGGAGAGTCCAGTTTTCTCTGTGTGCAGTCATCACCCAGTTTTGCATTTTGCTTTTTAGTTTCAACCGTTTGCTAAGTGTAAGCAATAAAACATGAGCTGCGATAATCAAAACTAGAGTTTAAATTTGGCAAATAGGTGGATACACCGTCTCAGCCGAGTCCCACTGTGATTTTGGCTGATTCAACAGGTGGATTTTTAATCTCATCATACAAACTGCTCATTTGCTCTGCTTTGAGTTACATCTGCCAACAACTGCTGCACTAAAAATTAATGTAAGTGCTGTTCATGGATGCAAATGATGATTGTGAACTAACATGAACAAGACTACATGAGTGTATCTGGGCTAACACATGCTCCTTTGGAAAATTAACAAGAAGTTTGATTCTAGGGGTCCCACTTGGTTCTCCTGTCTGCTTCTGGAATAACAGTCCAGTTTGGGGACGGCGTCCCCGCAGCGAGCCAGTTGAAGTCATCCACCTGGCTCCAGTTGTTCCGCTCCTGGTCTAAGCCAGACACGGTAAAGTCCTCCTCCAGGGTGGGATAAGACCAGGAGAAAGGGGCGAAGCTCACCCCGCTACAGTCCTCTATGATGGCCCGGCTGGTGACGTGCAGATACACCTGTGTGTCCGTGGTGTTGTGGGTCCGCAGCTGCTGACAGGGGATGGCCAGAGTGCTGTTCCTACAGTGATCCAGGAACACTGAGCTGGACACAGGTCCACACAGGATCTCGCAGCTGTCGATGTGTTTCAGGTGCAGCGTGCTGGGGGAGCCGAACAGACGCACCTTGCAGTTGGTCAGGTGAGTCAGCAGCACGTCTCGTTGCTGGATCTCCTCAGCTGTCTTTGTCAGAGACATGTCGTCCATGTTGGAGAAGCCGCACTGCTCTGGGGCTGCGGCTCCGTCCACCTCGGTGCCACCAGCATCTGCAGGTGCGCCTGCATCAGGTGTGTCTGACAGAGGTGCAGGAGCTTTATCTGCTGCTTTGGTTCGAGCCCGGAAGGTGAACTTCTTCTTGGGCAGAGCCTCCTCTCTGATCTCAGTGAGGGAGGTCTGGAGTTTCTGCAGAGCAGCCTGGGCTTTGCTCAGCTCGTACTGCGTCAGAAACAACAAGCTGTCGTTCAGGAACTTCTGCAGCTGGAGCGTTCTGGCCGTCGCCTCCTCCAGTTTCTGAGTCACCACAGCCCGCTCGGCTCCGGAGCAGCCGGACAGCAGCTCCTCGATGGACGCCCGCTCCGTGTTGAAGGTGCTGGAGAAATACTCGCCCTTCTCCTCCGCCACAGACCGGCTCTCTTTAGCCTCCCTCCTCCGCTCGGCGTCTTCTGCTCTCGCCTGGTGCCGCTTCTGGAGCCGCTCTTGGATCCTGGCTGCGCCGCTTTCACCGGCAAACCCGCTCTCCTGACTCACTTCGGCCATAACATCCATGTTATTGCACCGTCAGATGTTGCGGAAGTGATAACGGAACACTTTCTTCTTCGTGGCTATTGCGAGCCAAAGTTAAAGCTTCTTACCGCCACCTGCTGTATCGGATATGTCATGGCAGTTAAAAAAATCAATTAAAAATCAAATATAATCACTCTATTTAGGTTTTATTAACATTTAATCCACCAAAATGAAAATATTTAATTAAAATTGTTGGTAATAGTTGAAGTGTTTGTCCAAAATATTTTAATACACTGCCTACTTTTAACTCATTTTTATCTTTGCACCTTTTGCTTTTTTTTTTAAATCAAAACTTGTAAAACAAATTTAAAAAAATATATATTTTTTTTTATAAAATATTAAAAAAAAAAATTAAATAATGTAGGAATTCATGTTCCTTATTTTCCTTTACTCATTTCTGTATCCTTTATCATGTTTTATATTTTATTGCTCTGTAAAGCACTTTGAATTGTGTATAAAATGTGCTATAACGACTTTTTTTCATTGTTAGTAGATATAAATGCACATTAAAGAGTTGGCTTAGTATGTAATGTCTGTCGCATGCATTTTTAGTTCTCCATAAGCATTAATAAAGCTGTTTACATATTGTACAAAATATATTTTTAAATGTAAAATATTTTCATTTCTTTAATTCCCATTTAAGTGCAGAATATTATTAAGTAATTGTAGGCCTATGTATGTGCATAAATGGCAAGGTACCAGAATATTTACAGGTGTTATAGATAAACTAAGCATAGTCAAAATTTATTGATATTGCTCCTTTGGATCTTATTTTTTTAGTGTGTAGAAGCCAAGATGTGGAACAGCTTTTAAGATGTGTACAAAAATAAATAAATGAATAAATAAATAGATAATAATTAAAAAATAGTCTATTGGTATTTTAAAAAATATTTGGCCTACAATTCGAACTATGATAAGCAGATATGACAAATTATCATTATTATTATCATGATTTTATGTTAACTTATTTATTTTTATACTAAATTTAATACACATTTTTTTGTGTCAGGTACTATTTATATATATATATTTTTGTTTATTTCTAATTTTCCCTGATGTTACTACGTATTCATGAGAGTGTTATGTAGCCTATATTTTCGTTTATGGCAGAAGCAAATATAAAAATAAAATAAAATAAAAATGTACATTGAAATGAAAAATTAAATAAAACAGAATGTGCATTACGCTAATGTATAAATAATAATAATAATAATAAGTAGAGAAGAAGAAGAATTAATTTTAAAAAAAATCCCCACCCTGAAATTAACATTTCGTGTCATCCTTGACCCTTGACATGCACTCAGTAACCTTTTAAATCTCTAACTCTTTCTTGAGTAACACTTAAAACCTGCCATTTTATGTATTATGGTATTACATAATGTCACATTTAATATTTATATTTATATACAGTGTGTGGTGGAATATCACAGGAAAAAATGATATAAAAATATTAATACCATTTTTAAAAAACTAAATAAAAAATGCAATGTAAGTGGGATCTCTTCAAAACACAACAACAAATTCATTTCTGTACAATGATAATTATCACCTGAGTGTAAGATCTGTGTATTAGCAGGTAACCAGGCAGCACTTATATCTACAGTAACTATGGTCATACCTGAGCAACAGCAAGGTGTGGCACTGTCACCAGAGGCCCGCCCTCTACCGTTGGTAATGATTAAGTCTAATAACATTTATCTGCTATTCATTAGGACAGTGAAACACGTCGTCATAATTCATATTAATATAAAAAAATATGTGTATATTAATTACACGCGGTTGTTCTTGCATTTCCTACTCATATTTGCAGAGTCGTATTGTACCGTTGTGGACTGGTGATTTGGGCTGCCTTGTTTCTGTGCGCTACCCCAACAACCCGTGCGGTGATGGCGAGGAAACCCCGTTGACAAGGCACTGCTTTTTCATGACGGTGAGTTTCCCTTTGAGTGTATTATAATTTTGTGATAAAAATTTCAAGGAAAAAACACACACAACCTCCTTCCTCCCTTCCTTCAGGGAGGGAAGAGAGTTTGAGCGGAGAGAAAAATCTATCCGAGACAGAACAGGGACAGTGAGAAAAATATATGAGTGGGAGAGGGAGAAGGAGGAGGAGGAGAAGGAGGGGGGAGCAAATTAAAAGTTGCCAAATGGAGATATTGGGTTTCAAGAGGAGTGAGACAGGAGTAAAGGGTTTGCCTCTTTGAGTCGTCTTTATGTTGTGCTAATCGGGATAAATATGTATGGCGCGGCACGGCTTTAGTCCTCTGGCATTTTCGACGAATTCCACCCGACGTTTGCAAAACAAGGCGTCGTCGACACCGCGGCTAGCTAACCAGAACAGGCCGGGGTTTATCGTTAAAATGTCGCGGAGCGTCTTGCCCGGAGAGCTACCCGACCAGAACACGGGCTGCCGCAGAATCCCCCCGGTTGAAACGCGTCGGTTCGGGTATATGGAGACAAATGTGACGTTTTTCATGCTGGCAGATGAGCCACATAGAGGACAAATGAAAGCCTCCCCAACAGAGAAAGAAAGATCACGTCAGCGACGACCAGCCACAGGCAGGCTGGAGCTGGACGACGGGCGTTTTGTGCTGCTTGAATGCGATTATCATTCTGTCGATTCAGTCTATTTTTGGAAATAAAACTTGCAAGCTGTACATTAGCTGGCTTACTAAACCAACCGGCGGTAGCACATACGGCACCAGTAGCAGGACGACAGCGGGGACTAGCTTGGTCTGCGTCGAAGCACGCATGCTAGGGCGGACTGCGGAGACTACGAATTAGCTTTAAAATACACAAAAATGGCCAAACTCCTCGGATAAGATGGTTTTAATCCGACGGCCGTGATTAAAGCTGACAACAAAGCCGCAAACCTAGTTGCTTTGAGCTACTTTAAACGGCTATTTTTTTAACAGCAAAGGCACTTTAGCTCTGTTGTCTTTTTTTTTTCCAAATGTAGCTAACGTTTGAAATTGACAGTTACATTTTGAACGTTGGTAACGCGTTCGAACTAACGATTGCTTTCGTTGGTGTCGTTGGATTATTAAATAATTTACTGTTTTGTGTTTTATTCGACACATAAACGGCATTTTAAGCTTTTTAATGTGAAATAAAACGTTCCTAAGTTAATAGTTTGGTTTCCGTTTTTTTTTTGTTCGTAATGGCCGACACTGCTTCCTTACATCTTTTACAGCATTGTGTCCACTTCTGAATGACAAAGGAGCCTCATTGCCTGTGTTAGCATTCCCCCTCATGACGAGAAAATGTCGTCGTTTTATTATAGGTGTTAAATAAAAGACAATACTCTGTAACATGCTGGACTCAATCAGGTTTCTTGGTGTTTAAAAGTCACGTTACAGTCAGTTTACAGAGCCTGTTTTGTACGGCAGCCCTGTCGTTCTTTGTTCTCCCTGCACTAAAGATGGAGGCTGAACGTGGCTCTGTTGTGAAGACAGCCTATGGCATGGTAACAGCCATTTTGTAGCACTGCAGTTGAGACGTTTTGCACTTACCCAGGAACACAGCTTACATTTCTCCAACACTGTACAACACAACCTACCATTTAAACACCAAATACTTAGTGGCTAAAGCAGTTTTGACTTAACAGCTCATATATTCCCTCACCATATGCTCCACATAAATTAAATAGACAACTTGATAGATATCCAAACACTCATAACCCATAACTGCTGGATCAGATTAGTGCTCATGGGCTTGGTTCTGTCACCCTTTTATAATGTATCACAAAGATAGCTGCATACCTAAGCTGGCTGACACAACATAAAGCCAATAGCTCTTTCTGTGTAAAACTCCAACAGCCATTCAAGGTATAAATGGAGCAGGGTGGAGTTATTTACACTCTAATGGCCATTTTCAGTCTGTGCAGACAACCAATGTGGGACAGCAGAGGAGGGCAATGGGTGGGAGTTTATGTGTCACAGACAAACATCTGTAGGAGGGGATGAAGGCCATCCGGCCCTATACAGATCTACCATAGCACTCAATAACATATCTGCCCCCCCCCCTCCTTCCTCTCCACCCCTCATTTTACACCCATCTTTTTCTTTTTTATCTCACCGTTCTCTGCAACACTCCCACACCTTGTATTTTTCACACGTTTAATTTTGTGTCATTACTGAATGTAGTTTCTCACCCTGCAGCCCACGAAGCCAAGGGTGTTAAATGACTGAATCCATGCTTCTTGCTGGAAAATCTGTGAGTGAGACATCCTTAATATGATGATACATATGCTAAGCCTTCACAGCTCATACACCACCACCTCAGAGTAACAACAAAGTGATCCACTGAGGTTTATTGTCATGATTAATGAAGCTACTAGTCATTGATTCGTGCATATTAAAACATGGATTACATAATGTTAAATTCATACTAGCCATCTGATCACCTGCTTCATTCTGCCCCAATATCCCGATACTCTTTCAGGTGTCATGGATGATGAGGACGATCGCCATCTTCTGGATATTTTAGGGTAAAAGCCCCGTTTATAAAACTGGTATTTACATTATAGACATACCTTTACTTCCTATCACAGTGTGGACACACATTTTTACATTTGTCCTGAAGTTTTGCTTTAGTAATTAGGTAATATTACAAGGGTTCCTCTTAAAAATCAAGGCCAAAGCTTCTGCAGACTTTTTATTTATTGTTTTGTTGAATTAGGGAAGTTAATAATCTTATTCACAAGAGATTTATTACAAAGCATATTCTGTTATTCTACTCTGGACCAGTTGAGCCATTTTTAAATGTGAAAAATCTGTTTTTCAGAGATGTGGATGCATTGAATGACTATCTCCATGGTAGCAACAGCAAGTCTGTGAGTGACTCTTTCAGCATGTATCTACAGTCATTCCTTACCAAGTGTGTCCGAATTGTTATTTTCATTTTAATGCATAAAGACTCTGCTGATTCTCTGTTAAACTCTGTTTTGTTTCTACAGATTGAGGAGGATGATGTAAACAATGCAGCTTATGGGTCGGATGGATCCTTCTTTTCTAGTGACACCGTGAGTAAAGCTTGATCCACCATAACAGACTTGATAAGAAAATTTGACCATCATACTATTGTTATGATTCACTTTTTATGGAGATAATCTATTCAACACTTGTAAAGAAGCAGTGTGTGGGATTTAGTTGCATCTAGCGTTGAGGATTGCAGATTGCAGCCAGCGTAACTTCTCCTGTGTGCCAAGCATGAACTCCCGGTTAGGATTTCTTCGGTGTTTAGCGTTCAGGAGGTTTTTACTGGAAGCCGAATTATCTGCAGAGATGTCCTTTTCTCCAGAACAAACAGACACAGTGATTTAAACCGGTAAAACCATTGAATAAAGCAGTTTAACATTAAAAATCAGTGTTTTTCCAATGCTGTTAGGCTTGTCACAGACAGCCCGCTAGTCCAGTGCCTGCTTAAGTGTGCTCACCTTTTTTCTCTGATAATGCGTAATTCAGACGTTCATGAGGTTTTTACCAAGAGCCGAATTATCCACAGAGTTCTCTTCCTCTCCAGAACAAACAGAAAGGATAACATAGTTGTTATATTCCATTTCTGCAAGTATATCTCCATAAATCCTACACACTGGACCTTAAACAGCAAAGGAAGTTTGTTAGTGTAGAAATATTTGAATAAGGGGAAGTGTCATTTTGTGAGGAGATAAAAGTTATATTATTAAAGGTCAATGGTGTAGTTTCCTTTTTTGCACAGGTTGTAAAAAGCCTCACAGTTGTATAAGACGGACCTACAGGGAAGTCTGTCTAATATGCTGTTCACATGCAAACACTGTTGTTTTCCACGCTCATTTTCTCTAAATGCTTCTTTCAGGCTGGCTCCAACGCTGGCCTCAAGGATGGCTCCTCTACAATGGGTGAATTCGGCGAGGATTCAGCAGGGGCAGGCCTCCAGCTCTCCAGCAGCCTTTCATTTATCGAGGATGAATTGGGGTCTGGGAATTCCCCTGGAGGGGTGGATCTTGGGGGAGAGGACCAGCCCTTTGACATCCTCCAGAAGTCTCTCATGGAGGCTGACATCACGGAACAGACGCTGGCCCAGGAGGCCTTACTAGACTCCCAGCCTGCTCCCACTCTGGTGCAGGCTCCTGTTCCCTTCCCCTCCCAGCTGGTTTCTGGGGGTTATGGCGGAGGAGTGGGTGTGGTGACCACGGCGACAGCTGCTTTCCCCACAGGCCAGTTCCTGCAAGGGGTGTCCCAGCTGCCCAATGGTTCTGCCCAGCACATACAGGTGTTGGGCTCGTTTGGGGCTGGCGGTGGCGTGATGACTCTGAGCAGCTTGGAGAGAACTCCTCAGCTTGTGCTGAGGGCGGGGGCGCCTGTAACTGCAGCGGGGACAGCAGCAGGGGGGCAGGTGTTTGCTCCTACCCAAGGCCAAGTTGGTTTGCCTTTCAAAAACATCCCCCTTCAAAACATCATCATCCAGAGAGGCCCGGGAGGGACCCAGACTCTTGTCAGACCCATTCAGCCTAAACCTCTTCAAGCTGGGGCTCAGACTGTCTACAGCCTTGGTCTTCAGCCCACTCCCACCACCCTTGCAAATGTAGTTAACGCTAACACTGCTTCTCCTGGGGGACAGTACACAGCCAATGGCTCCATTGTAGTGCAGCCGCCCCTGGAGCAGCAACAAGCACAGGCCCAGACAAATATACCACCTGGGCAGTACTTGCTGCCCAGCTCTTTGGCACTCACTCCGGCCAGCTCCATCCACAACGGCCCCGCCGACCCCAACTCAAACACCCTCATTACCAGTCAGAATGCGGTGCAGATTGTTGCAGGGCAGAACTTCACCGCACAACCAGGAGGCCAGCTAATATTGAATCAGGGAGTAGTCAACAGGAGTCAGGTGGGAGGGGGTGTAACTCAAACATGGACCGGAGTTTCATGTGCGAACCCAGCCCCCGTACAGACATCATGCGCTCCGGGGCGGCTGACTCTGGTTGGCCCAGCGACGGCGGGGATCGGCGGTCAAGGCCAAGTGTCGGCAAGCCCTGTTCAGCGCCTTCTAGTGACTCAAACTCAGAATTGCACTTCTCTGTCCCCTTTAGCTGGTACTGTGACGCAGGAACAAGACTACAGACAGGTACCATCGCAAGTTTCACTTTGTTTTCGCCTGTTTTCTCTCTCCTGAAAGCTGCCATCTGACTGACATCACTTTCATTTTAATTTTTCAGAATTCTTCATCACCTGCCCTCAAACAGGTGCAGCTCAGCAGCATCCATGGTAACACAGGCTGATTAATTTTTTTTTCGGTGTATGATGTATTTAAATTTAAAGTCAGCAGCACTTAATGAGGTTGCCTTGTTGTTTGTATGATCTCTTTTTAGCCATGACAACCATGACTCAAGATTCAAAGCTGAACTCACAGGTATATCACTCATCCTGCACCCTATTTGTTTTGCACTCATGTATATGGTGTATATTTAAAGGGATAGTTTGGAATATTTGAATTCAGGTTGTATGATGTACTTATCCATAGATAGGGACGATATTGGTGGTATTATGACAACTGTATTATGCACACTTTCTCGTTATAGGTCAGTGCTCAGAAGAGACCGGCCCTTCCGCCACTTACAAGAGGAGAAATGTGAGAATTTGTGTTTTTGACTGTATTATTTCACCTTTTGTTTCACTTGTTGTCAGCCATTGACGGAGCTTGTCTCTTTTTCCTGTCATCTCTTTAGGATTTTACAACAGCTGAGGAAGGATCACGCTGGAGTTCAGACCCCGGATCAGCGTCGATTCAATTCAATCAATGATGCACTGCAAAGACTCCTCCCTTACCACGTGTTCCAGGGGGCTCCACCCAGCCAGGAGGAGTTCTCACAGGGTAGAGCCATGAATTTATTTGCTTTACTCTAAATCTGCAGCAAAGGCAGAAAACTGCAGACCTGAAGTATAGTGTGTTTATGCATATATTTGCCAAAGTAAAATTGTGTTTGCAGGATTTAAGTACCTGAATCCAAATAGAGTTTTGTGTGTTTACAGTGGATGAAGAATTTGAGGTAGTTGCAGCCCAAGTGCTGATGAGGACCCACGCCATGGTCAACAAATACAGACGGCTACTAATGGTGGAAGCTGAGGTAGGCACGCACACCCACAGATACCTGCATGCAAACATGTTTTCGTGTTATGACAAGCACAGGGCCAACTGGTTGTCTCTCTCTTCCTTGCAGCGTTCCAGTCCGTCTTCAGAAATGGTGATGATCGACAGGACCTTCAACCAAGAGGAGCGCAGCAATCTGACACAAGACAAACGCATGGTACTTGTGGATCCAGGTAAAAAGAAAAAAAGACAGTTAAGGACTTTGCAACCAAGTTGTTGTTTTTTTTAAAATCCATCATCAGATGACAATTGTTATGCACAGAAACCTTGCATCATTCTTGGTTTATACTTAATGCAAGTGTCTGCACAGCCAAAGTGATGTCACATTATCAGACAGGGCCCTTAGGATGGGTGGGGAACCATGCTTTAGACTTAAGTTTTTGATCTACTGACCCCCTACAGTTTGGGAAAATATCGGTTTGCCGTGAGAAGAGACCACAGCTTATAAAAATTCAAAGGTTTTTTTGAGCTTGTATGATAAAAAAAACTCCTGGAGATATTAAAATATAAGTGACATATTTATCTAAATCCTGCCAAGCTCACTTCCACCAAATCGTGCACGAAGAATTGTGGGTACTTTATACCTGCTGAGGATACACAAATGCATCCTTGAAAATTCTCTGAAAGAAGGACTCTGTCACTGGTAGAATGTGAAGGATCCTTGACATTGGAACAGTCCGTAAGTGGGATTTGATGATTTAGCATCCTTAAAATTCAGCCATTTAAGGATCCTTCCTTGACTCTGAGAAACACCTAGAGACTGGGTCCTTATCCATGGAGTCCGCCGTGTTGCACTGCCATGTTTCCACAGTAGCCCAGAATACACAGACCAAACACTGGCTCCAGATAGGGACATTTGCATTTTCGCTTTGGCGACTGCAGTTACTAGCCCCACCGCAAAGAGACAGCGCCAGTGTTTTTACCGGTTTTTATCACCTGGTTTGTTTTCTGAGAGGGAGAAGCCTCTGCGGATAATTCAGCTCCCAGTAAAAACCTCCTGACCAATTAACACTGAAGGAATTCTAACCGGGAGAAGTTTAAGCTGGTCACAATTTGCAATCTTCATGTTAGGGGGCGATCACACAGAGATGAAACGCTAGAAGCGCGACGCCAGTAAAACAGTTGTTTTCCTATGATACAGCGCGTCTGACCGGCGTTCAAGTGTCTTTTCAAATGGGCGTTTTTCCGGCGTCTTTTTAGACGCGTTTTTGTAGACACTTCTTTTCAGACGCGCGTTTCTAGATGCGCGGAGATTCTGAAAAGTTAAAATATTTTCAACTTTTCGAGAGCATCAGACACCAGTAGCTAGCGCGCATTGAATAAGCGCTTCCAGCGTTTCAAGTGTCTTTGAAGCGTCCGCGTCTCTAGCGTCTCATTTCTGTATGATCACCCCCTTAGATGTTAATAAATCCTACATATAGCCCCTGTAAAGCAAATAATAATCTCACTGAATGATTTGTTTAACTCTTCCTCTCGTCTTCTGTCTTACAGACACCTTCATGGAGGACTTCTGTTGTGGGATGAAATCTAAACTTTTCCAAGAACCCCTCCCCTCTCAGTCGTCGTCCAGCTGTAGCTGGAATCAGTCATCAGACAGAGGCTCTACAGAGCCGCCATACAGGACAGACTCTCAGCCCGGGTACGGAGACCCGGGAGGAGGTGGAGCTGCAGTACCAGGTGCAGCAGATAGACTCCACCCTCCACTCTTAGAAAACAAGAGTGTCCTGGAACTCAAGAGATCCCAGCAACACTATGGGTCCAGCAGCGCCAGCAACAACAGCCTCACCGCTGCCAACAGTTATCCCCAAGGTAACCCCTCAGCTTTCGCAGCATCGTCAAGAGGACAGACGCACTACCAGGTGTCTCACCACCTGTCCTCACCCCCGATCCAGCCCCAATACCCCCCGCAGCTTGCCTCACCCCCTCACCCCGACACAGACTCTGCTCTGGAGGCGGCAGTCAACAGCATCTTGGAATGTTAAGACTGATATCATCCCTAATGTATGGTTTCAACTTCTTTTTTTTGTTGTAAAACTCTCCTGTTGTAATATTTGTCGCATTCCCCCACAACCCAGTGTGAAGAGAGGCTAACTCTTCTTTCAGGTCTGTTATCTTTGTGAAACCATCTCCGGCCATGTAGCATGTATTTAGTTTGTTTTGTTTTAGTGTTTTGGGGGGGGGTTGAGGCCTGACTCAGGAGCCAGAGTCTCCATCAAGGTGCCAGGTGAATGCAGGCACTTAAACTTACCTATAAAGATCCGGGAATGTGTGCAATGCAACGGACTCACAGATGGAAAATGTTCTTTTCAATTTAAAGTTATTTTAAAGGGGTAGGGTCCACAATTTCAGTAGCTTGAATATAAGAGTGTCCCTCTCTTCACACACAGGAATTATTAAAGGGATAGTTTGGATCTTTTGAAGTGGGATTGGATGAGATCCTTATTCATAGTCAATGTAGCACAAACAGTAGATGTTGGTGGGCACACCCCCAGTTTAGAGAAGCAGGCTGGAGTCTGACATGGAAACTAAGCAATGTACTTCTGTGCAGCAAAACGTACTTTAGCCACCTAAAAAAAAATCAATATCATTGAGTGTGCGCTATATTAAGAATATTTTCACCTCTTTACCTTGCTGTCAGATGGCAATATTCGATGGGACACTGAAGCTGTTAGATTGCTTTCAACAAAGCCAGAATCTATTTACGAAAACAGTCATTTTAACCTGTTGAACACAGAAACTGCTGGTCTACCACTGCCTTAGTCAGTTTTAATTGTGTCATTAGTCCTGTTACACTGCCTGTTCAATGGGGAACTATCGCGCCCTTATGTTGCCTCGCCGTTCTGTATAAAAGCTATGATCAAGGAATGGAGCTTGCAGGTAGTAGCAGCACCAAGACAACGTCTATGTAAAAAGGGGCAGCTGGCAGGGCAGAACAGGTGTGACGTTTTGAGGGTATGTGCGCAACCCACTCTGTGAGGTTTAAATACCAACTGATAGCAGTTAGCAGCTAACTTGAAGAAAAACAGTGGCCGAACATGTATGCAAATTGGAAAAAACAATATGATCTGGGAGCTCCTTATGCTTCAAGCGGAGGACGAGATCAGTCACCATAAAACAGGGATGGTAAATAATTGTTAGTGCCATGTTATGCTATTTTTCTTGTTTATGAAACACTGCCAACACGTATGTTATGTCACACTAGAAGCTGATGATGTTGAGTTAAATGTCATGACCATCATGCCTCTTTTGCTTCTGAGATGCGTGAAGAAGTGACCTCATAGTGGCCCTAAAATGCACAAACTAACTACACGATGGAGGCAGCAGTAGACCAGCAGCTCCTGTGTTCAGCAAGTCAAAATTAGTTTTGTCAGTGGATTCTGGCGGCTTTGACGAGAGCATATATGGGCAACTGAAGCTATTAACGGCTTCCCCGTCAGAATGGGCTGTCTGAGACAAACGTCAAGCGAACAAAACTCTAAATATAGCGTACATTTAAATTCTGGAAGTATTTTTTAGGTGGCTAAAATATATTATGCTGCTGCCCTCGTCCAAAGTACTTTGCTTAGCTTCTGTGTCGATACTCCAGGCTGCTTCTCCAAACTGGGTGCGTGTAATACACTGACTGTGCATTAGTGCCTCATACAACCCGACCTCAGAAAATCCAAACTGTCCTTTTAATATTTAGTGCCAGTTAATTTCCCCCACCACCTATGCTGAAGAACAGGGAGGAGAGACAAAACGACGACTCTGTGCCTAATTCTAGGTTTTTATTTTGAAGTGTTTACATGAAGGAGCTCTATTCAAAAATATCCACTGACTTAAATTACAAACATGCACAGCGCGCACACACACGCTTTAGTACAAAGTAGATTCCGAGGCATAGAGACACATTCACATAGACGAATTGCACTAAATGTACTGTCGCTCATTTCAGGAACTATCCGAACACGTGGCTCTTGTTGACATGCAGTGTACGCTAGGCTAAACCGAATGTGAATATTTGGAACAGAACCAAAATCTATTGGCTTGCTTTCAGCTGCCTGCAACAAGGATAACCTCTTACTCACACTAGAAACCAGTCAAACTAGTCACACAGACATACAGTAGTGTTACCGTACTCTGCAATGCTTTTTTTTCATGTGCTCAAGTCACATTTTCTTTGGCGTTTTTTCTTTTGTACCTTAAAGGTATGCAAGCCCCGACACACAGACACAGGACGAATACTCAACCACTTCTATCATTTCACAGTGTGTTTGTGTCAAGGGGAGCTTAGTCCTCAGATTGAGGAAGATATGTTACAGTATGATCCTTTTTTAATTTAGATTTTTATTTCCTCATTTATTTTTTAGAAATGACATTAAAAAAGACAACTGTTTTTGTTTGTTGTAACGTGTTCCCCAGCTCTGTGAAGATTACAATATCGTCTATAGTTTAAATGATCCTGGAGGGTCGCTGATTGTACGTATGTTGGTCTGCCTTCTGCATATATAATTATATATTGATCATATCAGGCTGTCTATGCTTTACCACCTCGACATGTCGACCAGTGGGTGTGTTTATCTGCATACATGCACACTGCTCTATGTTTTATGTAGTTTGGTTGTTTGGTCGCCATACTCTGTGTCCTCAAGTGTTCGCTCACTTCAGTCCCCCGGGATGTTTTTCTCACTTTGCAGTGTTTCTGTTCACACATTTCCTCTCTTTTTCCCTCTCAGCAGCGCAACCAAAACTCAAAATAGGAGAGAGTGTGGCTTTGTCCAGAATCAGCGTCAGATCTTTATGTCTTTGTGCCGGTGACAACAGCTCTGCAGTGCTTCCTCTGAAGCTGTTTCCCCTGAAGCTCCCACTGTGTTCTGGTTGTATCGGAGTATTGCTGAGTTTGCTTTTAGTCTTTTAGAGACAAAACTTACTGTGATATTTCACCATGATAAAAAATTAGGGCTGGGCAGTATGGAGAAAATGTAATATCGCGATATTTTGTACAAAATACCCCAATATCGAGATTTTTGATGAACTATTGATCAGTAATGTGGATTTAATGACTATTACTGCAATCACAGGAGACAGCAAATCAAATATCAGTTTAGTGGACAAGAGCAGGACGCTAAAAATTAAGTTAGGCAATGTAGACAGCTTTGCCTTTAAAAAATAAAATATTTCAACTTTTTGCTGTCCTCTACGACAGAATTTACAACTAGCTCCCTCACACACGGCCAAACACGGGCAACCAGGATAATTATTGGACTTTACTAGAAAATTGACATAAATAATGAACCTGAAATGATTTTATTTAATATATTCAAGAACATCGGGAGGGAGCTCGGAGTAGAGCCGCTGCTTCTTCGCGTTGAAAGGGTCCAGTTGAGGTGGTTTGGGCATCTGATCAGGATGCCTCCTGGGCGCCTCCCGTTAGAGGTGTTCTTAGCACGTCCCACTGGTAGGAGGCCCCGGGGTAGACCCAGGATACACTGGAGGGATTACATATCTCGTCTGGCCTGGGAACGCCTTGGGGTCCCCCAGGAGGAGCTGAAAAGCGTTGCTGTGATTGATTGGGGGGCAGTGTAGCGTAGTTCAAGCAAGATACCATTGTAGAAGATGACAAAGACAAAGTGGTGGAACCGAATGAATTGGTTATACAGAGAAAAGAATTCTCTGTCCGCATGTTGCTTTGTATTTAAAGGCTACGAAGACCACCACCGTCTACGCCGCTGCCTCCATTAAAAGGTACATTATTAAGACCTCTACCACCGTCGCCTTGTTTGTTGTTAGATATTTTTGACTCTACAGCCATCTGTCGTCTGTAGGACGATATCTTGTCTCATATCAACGTACCAGTATACTATGAATGTGTTGCCCAGCCCTGTAAAGGGTTATCCCGCAACATTGGCCATGTATGTGTTTTAAATCTGCACTAACAAAGGCCGATTTCTGCCAAATCCAACACAGGACCAAAGCTTAGATTAAACACTGCTGATTCTAGACTGCGTCACCTTCCTCTTGTACACATCTGTGAAACATGCTACAGTGGCAGACTGAAGGCCTTTAATGTGGGGGTGATAGAGAACACATCTGTCTTCTTTTGTGTTTGAGTGCCAGTGGCCACCGCAGCCCGCCTGTATCTCTGCCTCTCTACCAGTGCACACTGAGGAAACTCTAATGACATGTAAGGGTCCTTCGAGTGGTCGCTGCAAGACTTTGTGCCTCTATAGCACTTATATCCACGAGAACATTTGCTTCAGACTCGCACAAAGTGGGGACGTGTTCAGTGGTGGCGAAACGTTGTGTTATCTGGATGCATATCAGTGTCTGAGGGCCTGGTAGGAACATACTGTGCTTTTTCTCCTGTTTCCAGTGCAGAGATGTTTTTCTTTTTTCTTTCTGCCTCCATTTTCACTGTTGTTTTGTCTCACTTGATTTGTATAGTTTGTTGTTTTGTACAAAAAATGAAAAGTGAAACACAAAATATTTATAATTTTTGTATGGAGAAAAAAAAAGAATGTTAAAAAAAACGAGAAAATGGAAATTATTTTTTATTGTGTTGGCTACAAGGCGGCATCAGGAAAAAAAAGTCATTACAAAAATACTGTCATTTCTTCATTTGTAGCTAATGTGTGTTCACTACAGCGGCGAGGAGAAGTCAACAATAAATTCATTTTGAATACAATGACAAACTGGTCCGGTCCGGATGAGAAAGCTCCTTCAGCGTCCCTCCATTGCTATTCTGTGAGTGTTCACATACTGGCACTGACAGACTAGGCATGCATAATAACATCATGTGACAGGGAGAAAGCATTTGCAGAAGAAAAACAGATCTGTAACCCTCTGCTGCACAGATATGATCTCTTCACGGAGACTGGAGTCAGGATATTTTGGATTTCATGTTTCTCTGTGTCTGGGCTGCCAGAGTAATCAAGTATTTTAATCAAGTTAAAAATCTGTTGGTTCCCTTTAATCCCCTCATGGACCCCAGCACCAATGCCTCTGCACAAAGGAGCTCAGAAAACTCTGCATAGCAAACATTTGACTGCCCAGCCCCTCTGGATTTGGTAGCACAACACAACAGTGACACCTAGTGGAGCCCTTTGGAAACACAGTGGGACTCCACATAGAAACTCATTTTCAGCAGTTCTCTAGTGAACATTTTCCCTTCTTAATCTAAAATAAAATACAAAGCAAACTACAAAATATAAACATAGATATGTGAATAAATAATATGCTTCAGTGTACTGCTCACAGGCTTTCACTTCAGATGCTCTACGCAGGAGCAAGTCAGTTGAGAATAAAACTACTGGTATCAGATCCACAACTTTTCCATTTGTTAAAGGAATAGTTTGACATTTTGTAAAATTCACTTATTCACCTTCAGGCAAAGAGTTAAACACACCACACTATGATAACTGCCCATTTAATATAAGGCCACTGCCAGCAGCTGGTTGGCTGAGCTTAGCATAAAGACTGGAAACAAGAGCAAACAGCGAATCTGGTTTGTCCAAAGGTAAGAAAATCCACCTACCAGCAACTTTACAGCTCACTGATTTACATATTATGTCTCTTTTCAAACCAGACAACAATAAAGTCCCAATGTCCTCAAACCAGACAACAATAAAGTCCCAATGTCCTCAAACGAGTACTTCCTCATTAACACTGTCTCATCTTGTTACTGTTGCTAAAATTGGTCAAACTACAAACATTATGAATCATAAATAAACAAGTGTCAAACATAAAATGTGATCAGGTTTTGGACCTTGTCCACTTTTGTGTTGGGACCAGCTGCAGACTGACTTGGCAGAGATGACTGCCATCTTGTTTTTACATGGATCAGCGTATTGTGCTCTTACTACCATTAGATGGCACAAAGAAGTGTCTAAGAACAAGGACAGCAGGTCTAAGTTAAGTAGAATGAAGTATAATGTGCAGGAAACCCAAAATGTGATGTCCTCATATGAGGACAAAGGGTCTCAGGAGGATATATAATTTTTTAAAATGGTATTCTGACACACATGTTGCCTTTAATAAATATGAGGCCTCCTGCTATTTGAAAACAGCAGTGGGCCATATTGTCATTTCAATTTAATTTAAATAAATTGTTTAACCTCAGTTGCTGTATCACCTTAAAAAGGCACATTGTCTTTTTTTTAACCTTATTTCTATACAAATAAACATGATATAAGGCTTTAAAAGGTGCTGGTTGATGGATTTAGTCTGCATTTAAACAGAGCCAAGCTAGCTGTTTCACCGTTTCCAGTCTTAATGCTAAGCTAAGCTAACCAGCTGCTTGCTGTGGTTTCATTTTTAACGGACAGATATGAGAGTCATAGACAGAAACCAAATGGGCTGACAGGAAGCGCTACCATGATGACGAGAAACCAGTACCAACTTGTCAGACACAAATCCTGTGTAAACCTTTGGATCTGGATTAATTATATATTATTAACAGAACAGATGCTTCGAGCTGCTGTTTCCCTCACACACAGTTACGCTTGTCCAAGCGTCTTCACCTTCACATTAGTGGTACTTCCTCCATCGATCATGCTCTGGAAAGAATACAGACATGATCAGTTATCTCCAACTATCTGCAGCCCGTTACACAAAGCAACACTGAGAATAATCCACACACTTACTGAGGTGAGGGTATCTCCAGATGTAGCTGAGCACACAGTATCCTGCTAACAACATGCCCACTCCACCTACACCACCTTTCTTCACATCAATGTACCTCCTGTAATACCACTGCCAGCCTGATGGAAAAGGAAAAACATCCATGTTAAACTTCAGAAATACTTAAAGGAAACCAGCAGTCTGGTGTGTTTCCTGAGTGATACATGATATATTTGCATGTGTGTGAGGTGAGTGTGTTACTCACCTCTTTGCACCATTTCCACCACATCTCTTGGATGGCTGGGGGTTTTACAGGCCAGCCACTCCGGCAGCTCCCTCAGTCTCACCTGGCCAAGACTCCGCTGCGTCAGAGCTCCTACAAGTCATGACAACAATAAGGAATCAAAGCACTGACACAGATTAATATGCACATTAAAGACTCAGAAATGTAACTACACATCGTGGCGAGGCAGACCTCCTGTCTATTTCTGTAAGCTGAAACCATTTCCCTCAGTGGAAACAAAGCTTTTATTTACTTTAATTTCACAGATAAGAAACAATAAATTGTGAAGACAATAAAGCCTCCACAAAAATAGCATTTTAAGTCTTGTGTGTGATTTATCCTGGCTTCATATGAGCAGAGGAAATCTCCGCTAGTCTCTAGGCTAATTTATACAATGTAAAATGCCATAGGCTTGTGCTAATAACGTTAGCATGTTGTATTTGTTTATAAAAGGTGTTTAGTATAAGACAGTTGTGTCAGTGAACCCTGTGAGTTGTAATGGAGCCAAATACTATAACGTTACCTTTGTTAAATGTTGCTGTTGTCCCTGGCTTCATATGAGTAGAGGAAAAGTCTGCTAGCTGCTAGGCTAATTTATACAATGTAAAATGCCATAGGCTTGTGCTAATAACGTTAGCATGTTGTATTTGTGGGGAAAATGTGCCCAGATAAAGACAAGTGTTTGTCTGTGAATGCTGCGAGTTATAGTGAAGCTGATTGGTGCACTTGTGTTTGAAATTGTCTCTATTAAGCCATGTTTAATGTGTGTTTAATGTGTGTTTGAATCAACTAAATTTTACAGCACTTCACAGAAACCTCTGCCGCCAACTAGTGTTTTGGAGGTGTAACTGCAGAGCGACACAGACACCACCGCACAAGTATAAATGCTCACAACGGCGTAGGCCACGTGGGTAGACTACAAGAGTAGGGTCTGCCACACAAGTATAAATCCCCCTTTAAAAAGGGACAGTTCACCCCAAAAACATCAATCAATCCACAGTAGTTTGTTGTCTCTGTTAAGTATCTGTCTGCTATTCACTCACTCTACAGCAGGAACAAAAGCTCCGTACCGGATATTCACTGCACTTCAAAATAAAGTATGTTTTAACGCTGCTAAGCATTCAGCCCAGCCCTATAGCTCATGTAGAAATGCTGAGCTGCATGTTTTGACTGGGGCAAAAGACAAATAAAGAAGTGTACAATGAGTAAAATGGCCATCTAAAGCAAAAACTTAAGTCGAAGATTAAGTGAACAAAATTACTTAAGTCACTTGAGAAACATTTCATTCTGTACCAAAATGTTCTTGAGCTTTGACGACCACATTCTACTGTCAGGTACTGACCTTTAGTTCCCTCGTCAGCAGTTTTTTGCTTCCTGCCCTTCAGTTGCGACTTCAACCCATCATCGGCTCTCAACATCTCCTCCCTCGCTGCCGGTAGAGGGCTGGAAAACGCAGTGAGTGATGGCGATAGAGTGAGAAGTCCTGTCATCTTCAGCCCTTCATTTGCGCTGACTGTACTTTGAGGGAGCGTGGCTTTGCTCACCTGAGACCATAGTTGGCCAGAAAGGAGGGGAGCGGCAGGGGAGGTTAGTTCATGCTGCTGCATGGGGACTAAAGATGCTGGTTTAGACTTTCTCTTGACTAACTGTAGCTCAGTGTGTTGTAAACTGGTGCTGGGCAGCTGGTCTGACAGGGTTCTAGATGTTTCCAAGGTCCCTGTTGGGGGAGGAACTGGACTGAGACTAGTACCGATTTTGCTGTTTAAATCATCAGCAGTTTCAATTCGGCTCAGGATGCTTGGTCTGCTGGATTTACGGGTGGCATTACCTCTGCCTAACATGGCTTTAACATCCTGGATGGTAACCCTGGCCTGGTGGCTGCTTCCTGATTTTAAAAGCATCTTATTCACAGAAAAATCCTCAACTTCCCCCTTGTTGCTCATCCAGATGTCGTCTCTTACACTGGATCTTGCACTACTTTGATTTACTTCAGAGTCCAGAGAGGTTGAAGTGTGTTTGGTCATTTGTGCAGCCTTCTTCGTCTTTGACGCCTTCGTTTTAGATGCAGCTTTGGGTTTAGTGTCCGCGGACAGAAACCAAGGATGGGCGTTGTCTTTTATTGTGCCTTGGTTGGGATTAGTTTTGGTCTGAGCTGTGGGTCTAGAGCTTAGAGTTTGGTCCTCTGAGGCCGATGTGCTTCCCTCCTGTGATCCCTTAGAAACCTGTGTGGACTTGGCAGCTTCTATCAGAGAATGGAGACTTTGCTTTTTGGGCTTAGAGACGGTGGAAGACAGAGACGGTGATGGGGAGGAGGTGAGGGAAGTGGTAGAGGAGGGCATGTTGGCTGCCTTGATTTGCTCAGACAGCTTCTGTTTCTTCTTAGTTGTTGGTGGAGGTGATGCAGAACTCGGGGACAATGAAGGTGTTTCTGATGATACAACAGACACCTTTTTACTCTTCTTTGATTGCGGACTTGCTGTTATCGACAGTGTCTGTGTGGACTTCGCTGTTGATTCTGACAAGGCTGCGGCCGGCTGAGAGGACGATGTCTGGTTTGCTGTGACATCATGTTTGGTTGGAGGTGTTTTGGAGCTCGCTGCTGCCTTACAGTGTGGCAGGTGACTCTTCAACCTTTTGTAGGTTTTCCCACAGAATGGGCACACCTCTGGAGGGGAAAAACAGTGACAGAGTGTGTGGTTATACTAACAACAACCTGGCAGGAAAACTTATGTGTTTAGATCTGGTCAATATAAACAAATATCGACGTTATTAATTAATCTGCTTGATATTTTCCTGCTTAATCAACTTAATGTTTCCCTGTACATAGTTAGAAAATAGTAAAAAAAAAAAAAAAAAAAAAAGCCTATTAATATTTCCAAGAGCCTAAGATGGTGTTTTCTAATTGTCTGAAGTGTCTGGCCAACAGTCTAAAGCTCAAAATTATTAATTATTTAATTTATTTTTATTTGCACATTCAAAATGGCTTTAAATCCAGATAATAAAAACAATTAAGTAAGAGTAAGTAAGTAAGTCAGGAGAGGTTAAGAGGCCACAGGCTTATATACCCCCTTAAGAAAGAAACAACAAAAAAAGGAGAAAAAGAAACATTTAATGAGAGCTTATTGAGTTAAAACCACTTCCCTCATTTGTTAGAGTTTAATTTATTAGAGTGTGTAAGTCAGGTTGTAATAAAACCACGTTGGCATCATCAGCAAACAAAATGGGAAAAGAAAATTTACTAACAAATACAGAAATCACTAATGTAAATAAATAATAAGGGTCCTAGAATAGATCCCTGTGGCACACCATATGGTATATGAACTGTGTTTGAAGCACAACTACTTAGTGTGTGAACTTACTGTAAAATACTACTAAATATCGATCAATGTGTGCTTAAAAGAAAATGTACACTATGTTTTATTTATTGCATGATGCACATTTTCTCTACTTTAAGGGCTGACCTTGTCATCGAAGGAAAAGTACACTGCTCAAAAAAATTAAGGGAACCCTTAAATCACGCATCAGATCTTTGTGAACAAATAATTCAAGTTGAAAATCTTGAATCCAAAACCATCAACCCACGGAGGGCTGGATTCAAAATCACACCGAAAATGAAAGCAACAAATTGAAATCACAGGCGGATCCAACTCATAATGTGACTCAGTAATGTGTATGGCCCCTACATACCTATATACACTCCCGACAATGTGTGGCCATGCTCCTGATGAGTCAGCGGATGGTGTCCTGGGGGATCTTCATCTTCATCACCCAGGAACTGCCTACAAACGCTGGCCAATGAGGCTGGGCATTGTCCTGCACCAGGAGGAACCCAGGGCCCACTGCATCAGTGTAAGGTCTGACAATTGCTCTGAGGATTTCATCCTGGTAGTCAGTCAGGGTACTGTTGACTATGACATGGAGGTCTGTGCGACCCTCCAAGGATATGCCTCCCCAGACCATCACTGACCCACCACCAAACTGGTCATGCTGGATGATGTTACAGGCAGCATAACGTTCACCACGGCGTCTCCAGACTCTTTCACGCCTGTCACATGTGAAGGTTCACTCAGTGTGAACCTGCTCTCATCTGTAAAGAGAACAGGGCACTGATAGCAAATGTGCCAATGCTGGTGTTCTCTGGTGAATCGAGCTGCACGGTAGTCTGTTGGAGGTCATTTTGTAGGGCTCTGGCAGTACTCCTCTTGTCCCTCCTCACACAAAGGAACAGATACCGTTCCTGCTTCTGGGTTGATGCCCTGCTACTGCCCTGTCCAGCTCTCCTCATGTAACAGCCGGTCTCTTGAGACTGTGCTGGGAGACACGGCAAACCTTCTTGCGACGGCACGTATGGATGTGCCATCCTGGAGGAGCTGGACTACCTGTGCAACCTGATTGGGCTGCAGATACCGCCTCATGCTACCAGTAGTGACGAGGACACTAGCAGAACACAAAACTAGAGAAGAATCAGTCAGGAAGGATAAGGAGAGAGCAGCTGTCTGTGGACACCACATGTAAAGCCATTTCCTTTTTGGAGGTTGTCTTGCTTTTGCCTCTTCATTGCACCTGTTGTCACTTTCATTTGCATCAAGCAGCTGAAACTGAATCACAATCACTTGTGCTTCTTAAATGGACAGATTGATATCCCTGAAGTTTAACTGACTTGGTGTTAGACTGTGACCATAAAGTGTACCTTTAATTTTGAGCAGTGAACTTGGAGTGGAGTCTATTCCACTGCAGACTCTACTGTATTGCATCAGCAGGGCGGTAAGTCCCAATAAAACCACATATAATAGCAGTGGTGATGAGGTCACGTGGTGGTTCTGCTTTTGTGAATGACAAAACAATACTGTGACACTTACCAGAGCTCATTGTGCACGCGTCTGTCCAAACAGCCAATCAGGTTGAAACATGTTCCAAAAACGTAAAACAGGGAAGTTACAACAGCGTCAAACTATGAAATAAAGTGACATAAATGATTATATTAAGTCACAGAAGTGTCGACATTTAAACACTTTCAGCTTCGCAAACAAGTTTTTACATTCAGGGTCATGACTGTTGATGTTTCCAGTGAGGACCCTTTAGGTGGCGCGTTAGAAGCCTGAGTGTAAAGTGCTAACACGTCGCTAAATTAGCTTAAAATTACCGCGTTTATTTACTTTTAAAACTGTACTTATTAGTGATGGATTATAACGGGGCTGTGTGGTGCATAGTAGCAGTTAATTAAATACCTGTATGGTCATGTAGAGATCTGTTCAGTGGGTGTGGTGCGCACACTGGCGTCTCTGCTACGTCGTAAACTGAGATGATTCACTCCTGCCTACTTCCGGTTTCGCGTAAATCCCCGAACAAACCAAAAACACTTCGTCAAAATTCCGACTAAAGCCTTTGATATTACGGTCAGACGGTAATGAGTTGTCCTCAGAGCTGCTGACGGTATTATGTGGCAGAACAAGACGTTTAATTAACTACAAAAACAGTTTCTTGGCAGTTATTTCTCATAACAGAAGCTGAATGGTTTTTTTTCAGTGTTCAATAATGATTAATTTATGGTTATTTGAAGTTTATTTTACTAAATTTATTCTATTTTAATTTAATTCTTTCTATATCTATTCACATGATTAAATAAATAAAAAAGAAAAATGATTTATTGAAGAAAAAAAATCTCCAAACAACATACTTGACTTTCTTGAAGCTTTCAGCCACACCTCATGGTCATCCTCAGCACATGGAGTTGCTCTGTTATCCTAATTTTTTTTTATTATCAAACAGTATTGTGTTATTTGAAAAGAATAAGAATTAAGAATGACTATCTTTGTGTGTCAAATAAAGCATTTTTTAATTTTATTTTTATTTTATTTATTTATTTTATTTTTTTGAAGAAACAGATTTTAAGGATGATATGGTTCAAAATATACAAAAACAAGCCTTACATTCATTTGTATAATTTTAATAGGCTTCCCACACATTTTCATGGACAAAATTTCAAAACTTGTTATGGACCCATTATATTAGATTCAATTTAATTCAATTTAATTTAATTATTCTTTTTTATTTAATTTTATTTGTTTTTATTTTGTTTAATTTAATTTAATTTATTTTTGGCCCAGCTTGGCTGAAATTGTAATTGTTGCCAGCTGGCGTACTTTGTGGGAGAGATGGAACGCAGGGGGAAAATGAAGCAACCTACGGGATAGTAAACAAATGTCACACAGATGCACTCTGGAGCTACATTACGTCAGTAGCTATAGAAAATAAATTTACCATTGTGTTACAGTACATGAAAGGTTGTCCACAGAAGACTACTGTACCAGTTTTATTACACACAACAAAATTCCATGACTTCACCCTTTCTTCCCCCTTCACACTCATTCTGTCCTATCTAATGTACTTCTAGTGTAGAAATACAAAATGGCCAATGGTATTTCATTCGCTCATTTTCCGTAACACCTTATCCTGTTAGGGGTCGCGGGGGGCTGCAGCCTATCCCAGCTCACACTGGGTGAGACGCGGGGTACACCCTGGACAGGTCACCAGACTATCACAGGGCTGACACATAGAGACAGACAACCATTCACACTCACATTCACACCTACGGACAATTTAGAGTCACCAATTAACCTGCATGTCTTTGGACTGTGGGAGGAAGCTGGAGCACCTGGAGAAAACCCACGCTGACACAGGGAGAACATGCAAACTCCGCCCAAAAAGGCTTTCCCACCTTGGGTTCAAACCCCCCACCCTGGATTCAAATCAGGAACCCTCTTGCTGTGAGGCGACAAAGCTTACCATTGCAACATCATGCTGTTTACCCAATTTCCATGACTTTTCCTAGACTATCAGTGCTTTTTATGACTTCTATGACTTTTAAAGGCCTGGAAAATGTGCTTGGGAAATCCATGACTTGTCCAGGTTTCCCATGACCCCTAATTTAAAGAACATCAATTTAAAACATATTTTGGACTCTGTATATTTGACTTTGAACTTTTATTTCAAATTCTGTCTAAAGAATGTTAACATCCATCCATTTTCATCTGCTTATCCAAGGCCGGGTCGCGGGGGCAGCAGGCTGAGCAAAGCACCCTAGACGTCCCTCTCCCCAGCAACACTCTCCAGCTCCTCCTGGGGGACTCTGAGGCGTTCCCAGGCCAGATGAGATATGTAATCCCTTCAGCGTGTTCTGGGTCTGCCCCGGGGACTCCTACCAGTGGGACGTACCCAGAACACTTCTAACAGGAGGCGTCCAGGAGGCATCCTGATCAGATACCTGAACCACCTCAACTGACCCCTTTGAACGCGAAGGAGCGGCAGCTCTACTTGCAGCTCCCTCCGGATGTCTGAGCTCCTCACCCTATCTCTGAGGCTGAGCCCAGACACCCCACGGAGGAAACTCATTTCGGCTGCTTGTTTCAGCAATCTCATTCTTTCGGTCACTACCCAGAGCTCATGACCATAGGTGAGGGTTGGGACACAGATGTACCAGTAAATTGAAAGCTTTGCCTTCTGGCTCAGCTCCCTCTTCACCACGATCTTCTGGTGCAGCGCCTGCACCAAACCATAGATCCATCTCACACTCCATTCTCCCCTCGCTCGTGAACAAGACCCCGAGATACTTGAACTCCCTTGCCTAAAGCAGTAACTCCCTCCCAACCCAAAGGGGGAAATCCACCGGTTTCAGGCAGAAAACCATGGCTTCATGGTTCCCAGATTTGAAATACAAAATTTGGTAATTAATTTTGTTCCATATCTCAGCATATCCACATAAATGTGTCTCTTTTGGGCCAGTGTTCATCATGAAGCGGCTAAATATTTGATGATATGTAAAATGAATAAATAAAAATGAGCCTTCTTTCATTAGAAAAGTGTATTTTATTGATACGGTTAGAGTGGCATGAGACTTGGCACAGGAATGAATTTCAAAAAGGTGATGAAAAAAATTGAACAAAAATACATCTAAATCAAAAAAAATGGTCATCTTCATTGGAAAAGCAGTGATTTTTGGAACACATTCAGAATGGAGGAAAAAAAACAAAACGCCATTTCTACAACCATTTACATATACGGAAATAAACCTGAATATTATTTACATGGCAACAGATTACAGTATGTACAAAGCCAGAACTGGAAGCAAACTGAAGCTCACGGGAGCTTTTTATTTTGGGAGGAAAAAATAACTGGAGACTGGTTGATGTGAAAATTCCCAAGAAAGCACGTGGTGATTTGGCAAAGAAACACAGATTTTAACAGTGCCTGGAAGTTGTCCTCAAACAAAGATTGGCCTCCTTCAGAATACAGTCGCTGACACAAGTATTCAACTCCAGCAGCTTTTTTTGTCTACTTTTTTTCAACAAATCCAAAATGTTCTTTAAAGGGAACTCCTAAACAGCACGAGACGGCGTGTAAACCTTCGAGGGGTTTTCAGAGACGCCTAACACAGTAAGTTACAGCTTTCAATGTTGGTTACAGTATATTCAGACAATTTAGAGCAAATCTCTGTACATCTATTAACAGACATTCATCATCAGGCAAACAGGGGAAACAGTCTGTCCCTTTACAAGGCATCTAATCAGAGATGAAAACAAACAGAGAGAGAAACAGAGGGGGATTCTGGGTTTAGGGGTCAAAGCCAGGAGGATACAGTACCAACCACCACCCAGCTAACTGTACTGAGGCCTGGCTGAGTCTCACCGCTCTGCCACCCAGAGAAAGATTATTCAGTTAGTTCACCACCAACAACATCAGCATCAACGCTGGTTTGGATTCAACCCTGAGAAAACAGTGGACTGCATGTTCACATGCTGGCACACCTGCCTCATGTGCCAATTAAGGTCATTTTGTCCTCTAAAACACCCAAAAACAAAAGGTTCTTAATTACGTGTTGAAGGCAGCTAAGATTGGCTTTAATTCTACAGAGGCACAAATGCAGGATTCAAACAGTGATTAGGTCTACAGAAGACGTTATATGGAAAGGCAGTGGAGGTTCAGTCCCGCCGTTGTGCCCTTTTCTAGCATTTTTTTCCACAGACAAGGTGCCGGTGCTGGAGCCGTTTTCAACATCACATACTGAACCGTTGGGAGCGCTGTCGCCATCAGTGAACTGGTCCTTGTCCCGGCAGAAATGACTCTCTGCCCTGCTGACGTCGAGGCCAAGAGAAAGTGGCGACTGGGACATGAAGACGGAGGAGCGATGCTGCAATATGAGGAAAATAAAGGACAATCGTGCAGTCTCCAGATCATCAGAGAGTTGTCAAATCCTTCCTTTAAACTACAGAAACCACGTTCACAGAGCAGCACTGGAGAGTGCAGCGGAAATAATGGACTGATTTTGGACTAGATGAATTCAGTACTAAATCAACTTTGGCACAGCTGATTTTGTTGCATCTTGACCGTCTGTCGTTTGCTTACATGTTGGTAAAACAACTGTATTTGTTGCTTGGCCAGTTGTTTATCTGCTTTGGAGACCATGAGGCTGGTTTGTGAAAAGTTTAACTGGTTTCCACAGCCAGGCGCCGGCGTTGGCGCCAGCACCGGCACCTTGTGAGTCGAAAAACTGCAGCGAGTGTCTGCGCTCAGGCCAGAGGAGAGAGTCTTGAGACGAAGCAGCAAAGATCAGATGTTGTCCAACATCCAAACCGCCTGCTCATCGCTAACCACGGACAGTCTGCCCTGCTGACTCGTCCCCCTACCAAACCCTGAACTAACAAGAAGGCCAACTCTTCAAAGAGGAGAGTAAAAACTAATATAAAAACGGCTGAAGAAGAACGCTGACGTCTATCGGATTCTTCTGAGGCTGGTCTCTCCCGAGTCCTCGTCAGGAGCAAGGGGGTGGTTTGTCCCCATTCAGGTCCTCTACTTTCACAGGTTGACAGGGGTCATTGGAGCATGAGCTGTTTGAGGTTGTCGTGGAGGATGGTGTCCTTGACGTCCCGGAACACCAGCCTGATGTTCTCCGTGTTGATGGCCGTGGTGAAGTGGTGGTACAGGGGCTTCTGGGTGGGGTCGCGTCTCTTGGCCCGGAAGCACTCCACCATGAACGCCTGGACGTCCGGCAGGTTGTGCTCTTGCCCAGTGTACTCGGGAAAGTAGTCCTTGAGCGGAACACTCTTCACCTTCTCCTCCAGCAGGTCTGTCTTGTTGAGGAAGAGGATGATCGAAACTTTGACGAAGACGCGGTTGTTGACGATGGTCTCGAAGATGTCGAGCGATTCACGCAGCCGGTTGGTCTGCCTGTCCTCCATCAGCACCTGATGGAGACAATGGAGCGATTTAGTACAATTATTACTGTGAGTATTAGTACTGTTCTTCGACCAACAGGGCTCTCATGTTAGTGTAGAGCTTCAGACTGGATTTACGAATGCACCATGTCAGGTCACTCTCTGGGACCGCAAGCGTTACTTGAATATGTAAACACTGACCAATGGGACCAGACTGACCCAACCGTATGATCTCACTCAGTGGATGGATGATGTCACAGGACACTTTGTGGTTGATTACTATGCCAATCTTACAAACTTTCCAAGTCAAAACAATATGTAACATACTGAATCAGACTGATGACCAAAGAGAACAAAGAACTTATTAATGGTATCACAGAGCACAACCTGCACATGTACAAATTAAGAGACTGGTTTATTAGTCCACACACACTGTGGGATATATCACAACACCTCCACAGTGTGTATAGACACAGCAATGACGACTTATCAAAAGTCACCAA